ATTATTGTAGAATTAGTATGAGGATCCAAGGGGGGAGGGGGGAGGCAGAAGGTTGAGGACAGGTTGGGGGAGAGGGTTAATGATGGGTGTGGTGGTGATGAAGGAAGTGAGAAAGATATGGTGTGAAATACAATGTATTAAAACGTTGTAAATAAACCACTATAAAATTTAAAAAAAAAAAACAATAAAAGAAAACAAAGATTTTCACCACTGGGCCAATTGGCAGCGCCATGATAAATGAAGAAGAATGTTTGAGATTGTTAACAATTTCAATTTGTTTGACTCCACACAGAATCAACATTCATGGCACCAGCAGTCAGGGAATCAAAAGACTAAATGCATTAGGAAAATCTGCTCTCAGGGAACTCTCCAGAGTGAAGAACAACAAAATCAGTCTAGCGAGTAAGGTTTGCCTTATCCAGGCCATGATCTTCACAATTACTTGGTACACATTAGACAGCTTGACAATGACCAAAGACGACAGGAGAAGAATTGACAGCTTTGAGTTGTGGTGCTGGAGAAAACTATAGAACATTCCATGGACTGCCAAGAGAAGTAACAAGTCTGTCCTGGAGAGGGTGAAACTATACTGGTCATTGGAGGCAAGGATTCTATGACTCTGTCTTTTGGGCATGTAGCTAGGAGGGATAAAATGCTTGGAAGAGTTGAGGAACAGCACAGGAGATGACACCAGATGAGATTATTGATACAATAATTAGGGTAATGAGGGCAGGAGTGTCAGAGACATTGAGATTGCCTCAAGATAGAGCAGATTCCAGAGTTATTGTACATATACTTGCTATAAGTCTGTAACTAAGCGTCCTAGTCAACTTGACGACACATGACAACAACACATACCCAGCAATCTGGCTTCTCTCTCATATCAGCAATTATGATCACCCAGGGGGCTAAAACATTCCCCACCACACAATGAGCAAAAAGACAAAGTTATCACAGGTAACAAAAAAGGCAAGTTATGTCCATCAATTAAAATATAAACAATGGTGTTTGACAAGTTAGTGACAGCTCATTTTTTAGGTTTACATTATTGTATGTTTTTCTTCAAAGGAATTTTCTGAACTGCCAATTTCAGTGTCATCTAAAGGAAGAACTGTTGTATTCAGTAGGGTTATTACCAATGATTCCTGATATACAGTGTCTTTACTAAGGCTATAAATAAGGAGAGATCTGGGAAAAGTTGGTTAGAACTACGAGATAGATTATAGACCCTTCTTTTGACCTAATCCTAAAGTAGAAAATAAACTAAGCCATCAGAGACTATTTTACTAGTTCCACAGAAGAGCCATGACTTTATTTCCAGTGGAAGGTATTGTGCCAAAGACAACAGAATATTACTGGATTATACAGGCCTTATCCATGGATGAATTACCCCATGTCCTCATTGTCTTCTGTAACCCTTGAGACAATAGTTTGTGCTTGGATGAGTCTCCCACCTATACTCAATGATGAATATGAGTCCGTTGATGTCAAGAGTCAGTCCCATGTCTCAAAGTTTGTTTCAGGGCTCCATTCATGCAGTCAATGAGACCAACTGATGTGTGATTGTATTACGGTAAATGAAGATGCCAGACAATCTTCTTCCACTAAACCCATTCCTGCACTTTATATCCAGAAAATATGTCCCTTGGTCCCATATCCATGTCTGTCCCATCCATGTCTGTGGATGTGCCACATCTAGCATATGAAATCTGGAGAGCTCTGACTGTTGCCTACACAGGTGAACCAGTAACAAAAGTATACTTGTAAGAGTTCAGGGGAGCTCTGGTGGCCTAGTGGTAAGGAGATGCAACTACAATCCCAGAGGCACACGGTTTGAATCCACCAGATGCTCTGCTGGGAAAGGAGGGACAATCTCTTCCTGTACCAGTCAGATCTGATTTGACGGTACACTCACACAAAAATAATAAAATTTAAAAAAAAAGAGTTCAGTGGCAGTCTGCACAGGTAAGAACATATTGCAGTTGCTTTGTTATGGGAGTTGTGGGTCCAGCACTCCAGAGAACAACTAGAGTGTGACTGATAGACTTCAATAATTTTTTTTTCATGAATAAGGGAAGCCTCCATTCTTTAGCTACAACTCATAAGGGCTATTATTCCTTATGACCAGTTTTACAGTATAGCCATCTGTCCATTGTTTAGTTACTACCTCTTATAAGGCTTTCAGTAAGCTAGTTTATCTGCCTGAATATTCCCAGGCAGACACAAGGAACTATATGTCGACATATAGAGCACAACAAAGTCCCTACCTTGTGACTTTGTGCATATATTTCCCAACAACTCTTTATTCCCACAATGGGTTATCATTAATACTCCACTGTAGTTATTTCTACTGGGCTATCCACAAAGTGTCCCAGTCATTTGAAAACAGCCAAACTGAGTGTGAACAGAGTATTAGGGCTAATTTCATATTTTAAGATCATCCATGCAGCTTTCAAATTTTGTTGGTAAATAAGGATAACAGAATAATCGATGTCTTTGAACTGTGGTGTTGGAGAATACTGAATATCCCATGGACTGCCGAAAGAACAAACAAGTAGAACCTGGTAGCTTCTAGAAGGCAAGGATGGTGAAACATACTCAAATACATTAGGCATGTTATCAGGAGGTATCAGTTCTTGGAAAAAGACATCATGTTGGGAGAGGTAGAATAAGATGATAAGATGCTCAAGGGGATGTAGTGACAAAGTGACTGTAACAATAAGCTTAAGCATTTTGGAGAGCGTGACACAGTAAAGTTGATAATACATAACACCACCAACAACATGAACTCAGTCCAGTGACTACTCTGCCTGTTACCAAGATTCATCCACCTACTGCCAGCAGAGGCTTGGACAGCCACTGGTGTCCATCACAGAGGGTTCTGTTGAGGGGCCCTATCTGTGCACCATACATTTTCTAGTACAAATCCTATGCCCTAAGTGATATGACTCTCACCTAGAGCACCTCAAGCTATGAGAGTTGTCATGCTATCTGTCATTGCACACATGATCGGGCTTAAGATCTGGTTAGGGTCATCACTCGGTTGCCTGACAGAGTGCTATGCTATTAGAAATAGGTATACTATTCAGTGAGGGTACTTGTTTCAGCTATCCCTGATTGAGGTTTATGGAAGTCTTCAGCTGAGTCCTAAAATGCTGATTTGCAAATTTAGTAATTTCCCTTGGTGATTTTCTCCTTTTGTCATAGATCAGTAAATGCTACAAACAGTTCTTTCCCTGGAGCACTGTATCTAATCTCTGCCCATTTCCATAGCTGAGACCAACACCTTAGTGGAATTGTTCAGCCATGTTGCTGTTGTTACAGAACTCAGTCATAACCTTCATAGTAATTAGGCACAGCCAATCCACATTCTTGCTCTGAATTTAACTTCCTAAAACTTTACTCTGTTGGATGACCACTTTGGTTTCCTAGAATACAAAGTTAGTTTCATCAATCCAAATTCAAATTACTCTTTTTCACAAAATAAGTATAAAAGGTGAAATACTTAGAGCAGTTGCTGTCATGTGTCCTCAAGTCACTTGTGATTTATAGCAACCATATGTACAACAGCTTTGAACCTGGCTCTATCCTGTGCCAATCTTATTGTCTCTGATACTCCTACCTCCATTACCCCAGTCACTGAATCAATCCATCTCATCAAGGGTCTTCCTCTCTTGTGCTGTCACTCTACTCTCCCAATCATGATGTCCCTCTCCAAGAACTGGCCCCTTCTTGCAACATGTCCAAAGTACGTCAGACAGAGTTTCAGAATCCTTACTTCTAAGGAGCAGCCTGGTTTCACCCTCTCTAAGATGAACCTGTTTGTTCTTCTTAGTCTCCAGACTGACACTGTTTCTCTTCAGTACTCCAGAGAGGTCCCTGACAGCAGACTTCCCAATATAATTTGTCTTTTAATTTCCTGGCTTCTGGTACCAAGAGTGTTGATTGTGGAGACAAGCAAACTAAAGTTGCTAACAGTTTCAATCTCTCCATCATCTATCATGATTCTGCCAATTGGCCCAGTGGTGAGCTTAGTGTGGAATAAAAAATCTTCAATAGCCTAGCAGTCTTAAAAAACCTTGTAATTCTTTAGTTCTAGTGAGAAAGAAATAAGCTTTAACTGTTATCTATTGTAGCCTCAGGAACAAATTTTGTCTTACCTAAGCAGACACCACCCACATGTTTAACAGACAATCCAAGACCATCCAATTTCACATCACTGATGACCTGTCCTCCAGATAGCATGTGATATAAATATATTAACTGCCGTGCTACCTCTTAGAGCAGAAAGATAGAATCACAGATTAACATTGCATAATCAATTTAGTGAAACAATGAGATTTCTTTAGGTCACATTCACCATTCCAAATCTTGGAGCCACCACGCTGTGACTTACAGTGAGAATATAGAGATACCCTTCAGGTAAAACTGTGAAAATGAAATATTCCCCCACTATTCTTGACTCTCTAGCAAATGTTAATGCTGAAAATGTGTAGGCTAAAATCAAGGCTAAGTGATAAATTTCTAAACTTTGTACTAGGAGGATAATAATGTTGGGAACAGAGCATGTAAAAGAGAAGTTTATTTCATTTCCTATAATGTCCCACCATCCCCAAGATCCAACGCATTTCCTTGTAGGCCATTTTTTGTCATTGTTATATACTGTTACAATTAAGCAACATCAAGTTGAGAACAGCTCATAGCAACCCCATGAACAAAGATCTGAATGCTGCTCTAGAACTATCATTATTTCCCTAGTTTTCCCTCCTATGCCATTCATTTACTGCTTCTGAAAACCTGCTGAAGGGTCATCTGTAGGTTGGTTCTGAATTGATGCCATATATATATAGATATATACACACACACACAAACACATACACACACACACACACACACACACTCACACACACACACTGGTGTCACTGTACTATTGAGTAGGAACCCACTCATTAATTGACCATCCAGTGAGTTTTCAGAGGCTGTAAATTGTATGGGAGGAGATTGTCCTTCTTTCTCCCATAACACAGCTGGTGGATTTGAGCCACATAACCTTTGGGTTAGGAGCATAACTCCTTACCACTAGGTCATGAGAGGTTCCATGTGTGCATGCAGGGAGTTGGATATTCTAGATACTGTAACATAGTAATATGTTTTGAAATCAATTTATGTGTTTTCTATCTTCTATTTCTGCTACAGCAGCTGCTGCTATTGTTTTTCCCCCCTTTCCTTCTTAAAGATTGCATTAGCTTTTTTGTATTTCTTGTTCCTTATAAACTTGAGGGTTGGCTTTTCCATTTCTAAGAAGATTATAGTTAGAATTTTGATGGGTAGTGCAATGAATTTGTAAGTTCTTTAGGTTTGTAATTACATCTTAATTATTTTAAATCATCTAAGAAATTCATGAACTCAGACTTACCTTCATTTATTTAAGGTTTCTTTAATATATTTAGTAAGTTTTATATTTTTTTAATGTAAAGTCTTTCAACTTCTTGTGAAATTTAAATATTAAACCTGAATGCTTTAAAATCAGGAAAGGTGCACATCAGGGTTGCATTTTTTCTTCATATGATTTCAAACTGAGAAAATAATTTGAGAATCTGATGATTCTTCTGTGAAGAAAATTGGAGGAAGATTAAAAACAACCTATGTTATACAGATGGCACAACCTAAAGAGCTTTGGTAGCCTAGTAAGTAAGGAGTTGCCTTGCCAACTCAAAGGCAGGCAGTTTGATTCACCGACTACTCCTCAGGGGAAAGATAAACCATCTCCTCCAATGTGGTTTACAGCTTCTGAAAAGCACCTGAAAACAAACAACAGGATCTTTAAAATGATATAAATATCAATGTTGAGAGTGAGCATTCTTATTTCTTTCTTATAAATTTTATTAATGTACACAGCAAAACATAAGAATTCAACAGTTTCTATGCATATCATCTAGTAACAGTGATTACATTCTTTGATTTGTGAAGCTATTCTTATCCTCCTCTGCTTTTTAAAAATTTTCTACTAGCTTATTTACAAAATTCAAATAAATTGTTTTCAAGAACAAATTCTTTCAATTTCTCTCACCCTGCCCCCATCAAATTGTACAACCCCATGATTAATTCCCCCCACCCCCCCTACAGATCCTTATCCCTCTACTTCCAACCTCTCCCACCCGCCTTGGATCCTTATACTCATTCTACCCTTGTGGGACTGAGTTGGTTCACGCAGCATAATGCTTTCCAGTCCCTCCCACGTTATGTAATAATTTACAAAGTTATTGCTCTTGCATGCTGCATAGTATTCCATTGTGTGAATGTAAAATAATTTCTCAGTCCGTTCGTTTGTGGTTCAACATTTGGGCTGTTTCCATGTTCTTATGATGATGAATAATGTTATTATGAACAATTGTGCCTCAGTTCTCATTCTCTCAGGGTATACTTTAAGCAGTGGAATAGCTGGGTAATATGGAATTTCCATGTTCAGCTTTTTGAGGAAGCACCAAACTGCCTTCTAGAATGGTTGTACCATTTTACAATCCCATCAACAATGTATGAGTTCCTTTCTTTCCACATCCTCTCCAACATTTATTACATGTTGCCCTGTTAAACTTTTCCAAGAGTGAGCATTCTTTTCTTGTTTCTGATGTCAATCTTCTTCCATTGAATACGATGTTTGCTGTGGGATTTTTAATAATGACATTTTTGTGGGGTTTTTCTTATATTCTTGTCATGCTATGTATATGAAAATGTGTTGAATTTGGTAAAATTTCTTTGGAATATTCATTGGGATAATCACCTGGTAATTTTCCCTTGTTTTAATAATGAGATGCACATTCACATATTGAATCACTCATTCCTAAGATAAATTCCACTTGATCATAATGCATAGTGTTTTTAATAAGATTGTTTATTCAATTTCCTAAATAAAAGTTGGTTGGGCGCAAGGACCTAGTGTTATTTCATTTTGAAGGAACATTCTTCTAAGTTGTACAGCACTCTTCTGTCAATTTGCTGTACTGTAATGATCTGGGTTTGCTGTGAAGCTAAACCTTGTGCCATTTGGGGTCAAATGCCATAATGGCTGCCTCTGATGGATAGTGTTTGGTGGAGCTCCCAGTTTAAGACAGGTTTGGAAGCAGGAGTGGCATCCACTTCCTAACCCACATGCCTCTGGAAGCTCTATGAACCTGGACAAATGATAATAGTTATACAAAGACTGCAGGTCTTTTGTTCAGAGTTGCTTCATGAGTCTTGCTTGACTAGATGGCAATGAACAACAACAATAAAGGGAAATCTGGTGGCCTAGTGGAAAGAAGCTGCATTGCACGGGGATTTAATATTTAGAAGGTCCCATTCATCAATTTTATCCTCTCCAAATTGTGCATTTCTGGCTGTATTTGACAGTCTCTTTGTACAACAGTCTAGGCAGTCTAAGTTTGATCCCAGTTTGTGTCTGATGAAATGTATAGTTTTGGGCTTTTCTCCCAGATCTCTTGATCCACCTTGGGTTGATTTTTGTATATGGTGTAAGATGTGGATCCTGTTTCAGCCGTTTTGCCAACTCCCGTTTGTTGTAGAGGTTGCCATTTCTCCATTTGAGAAATTTTATTTCCTTGTCAAATATCAGTTGACTGTAGATAATTAGGTCCATTTCTGGAATCTCAATTCTTTTTAATTTGTCGGTGTGCCTGTTATTGTATTACTGTCACTGTGTAGTAGGTTTTGAGATCAGGAAGAGCTATGTCTCCCACTTCATTTGTGTTTTACAGATGTGTTTGCTTATTTGGGG